GGTAACTCCTGGCCATATTTGTAGCCAAGAGTGTTGCTGGTCATCTGGATGTAACCTGCTAAGCCATTTAAACTGTTAGATTAAATTTTATGGGCAATATATTAAACTTAAATGCTTTAACAATTTTACTTAGTTTCTAATCATAACATGCTATTTTAATGCCTTCTAGAGTTAGGAAACCTAGTACTTGCTAGAATCCAAAAGCTATATTTATTTTGAAACTTGGGACCCTGAAAATTGATGGTGTCACCCAAATTTTGGGGAGGACAGGAGAGTTAGTTTAACTGTAGTTTTTGGGTTTTGGGCATTATGGAAAAAGAAGTGTGTATTACATATATAAAACTAGATAGAATTTGATTAGAATGAGTGAGACAGTTTACCAAGATTAAATCAACACTTAAAGAAAAAAAAAAAGACCTAAGCTGAGGAAAGCCTTTTAAAAGAATTCCTTAATGAATCAATCAGTAGTTTATATCCTTAAAGAATTTTTTATGGTTTAATAATGAACATTTAAAACAAAACAAAAATAAGCCATTTCCTAACATTAGCCTTTCTGCCTATGGAGGTCATAAAAATTGTTAATGCAGACGAGGTTGCCTTCTGTTGTGTGATGCTAATAGGAAATGGATCATTGCGGTTTATGAGGTACTTAGCCATTTTGGTTCATGATAAATGGTTGACTTCAAGTGACATTCCTTGGTGATTCCCTCTATTCATCACCTGAAAGAATGGAACCCAAACATGAAGTTGATTTTGAAGTTGTCAGGAGTTTCACTGTGGTGTAAATCCATCATAAGCCAATGCTGTAATTGATTTAGGAAGAAGCCCTATGAGAGAAAACACTCATAAATGTTTTATGCCCCTATTTTCCTTTGTTCAAAAGCCAGTTTTGTGACTCTATCTTTTCCTCCTCTAACTCCTGTTGTCTCTTCCCTTTCCCCTCCCCCTCTCCAAACATTCCCATTTTGAAAACTCGGTGGATTTTATCTTTGCAGATTCTTTGATGTGATTAATTGTTTTACTTTATAAAATCATCCCAAAATAAGCAGAAAAAATGAAACGTATTTTCACCTTGTATGTTCAACGCTTGTGAGGCGTTGTAGAAATAGTATGGAAAACTTTTCATTGCTATGTTCTTGCTATTGTCCTGTTTTCTCCTCTTATTTGGGTCATCTTTTCTTAAAAAATACCCTCATCTCCTTCCTTCCCAGGACACACACCATCCCTAAGTAGGAAGGAAAACTGCTGCCTACTGGACTAAGGTCACGTTATCTGAGGTTGTTGCTCTTAGAAAATTATTTCCCAGTTTATATTCAGGGAGGCTTTTCTGGCACTGGAAGGTTTACCCAAGATCTAGTCATGCTTAATGTATGCCTAAAGGAAGTCTGAGTCTTTCCTGTGTTGTCTCAATGCTTGGAATGTTTATCTCTGAAGTGGAGCCTGTGTTTGATTCAGTAGCATGATGCTCTCTACTACTGGTATTTGGAGATGTTTGATATCTAGCAGGATGTTATTGGGAAAAGAAAATGTAAATGTTCCTGCAGGTTACCTTAGAATCCTGGAGTGTAATTGAGATACTGCTCCATTTATTTCACTGGATCTTAAAAGGATTTTGAGCCCCCTTATCTATGTGCATTGTTGGAGTGAGGGCGACAACAGGTTATTTTGTTTGCTTTGTAGAACTTAACAGGAGGAAACCATTCTTGACTTACTTGAGGTGCTAGTATCCTGGAAGCAGAGTTAGTGAAAATCTCCTGCCAGAGGCACATTCTCTCATAGGATTTTGTGGAGGCCAGCTACCCTTTTAGCAAATTGATATCAGTGTATACCTTGCTCACAAAGGATTTTAGACCAATAAATTGAATGCATTCGAGATGTCTGAATTTTTTCCTGCTCTAGAACCCATGACACTAGTTATATTTGGGGAGCAAGCCTAGAAGTACTGAAACAGAAATACTAATTTGATTTATTCTGGTCATTTTTCCTATTATACCCTTAGAAAATAACTCAGGACATATAATCTGATTACATCATTTTAGATAAATCCTGTTAGTCCTTTATAGCTGATTGTGACATCTGATTTAATGGAACAAACCATTTGCCCCCTAAATTTGTTGAATGAAAATAACTAATCTGGAATACTTTCTCAGCTCAGTTGAAACCATGAGAAAACCTCTAGATTGGCCAATTCTACTATGCTACACTAATTTTTCGGACTGTGGAAACACAACCATAATTGACTTTCTGATCTGTGTTTGCATGGGCTGAGGGGAGGTTGCCAAGGAGAAGAGCTGAGAAAGGGAAGGATAAAGGGGGAACCACATACTTGAGAGCTGTTACCACTTCCTAACTGACATGCTAACGTGAGCATGGATGGCGTTTTACTGTCTTTCTCCTCTTTTCATTTTATTCTCCCCCGCCCTGTCCCCAACATGGGCATAAGTATATATAGAAACTAAAGGAAAGTAAACTAAGACCTAAAGTTTGCAAACTTTTCTGGGGGTGGGGATAATTGTAAGAAACATACTTTACCACCCAAAAACTGTCTCAGGAGTATGTCTTTTGTGAAGGATGTAGGGGTTCTGTGTGCAGAGGATTTTAATTACTACCTTCATTCTACATTGCCAGACCTTTTGAATGCAATGTGTTCTAAGTGATCACAGGGGTCCCTTTAAGGTGAATTTTGAAATGTTCATGCACTGCATTCTCACTGCCCCTACCCTCATATATAGTTACTGTCAGCTCTTAGACTTGTGCAGAAACCACTGAATAATCCCTAAATTATTTGCTAAGTTAAAAGTAAGGGAAAAAAGTTTCCAAATGGAAAATTGGGAATTTTTTTTTAATTCTGAAATTTTTCAGAAATAAATTTGGGGGAACTTAATTTAAATTTCGATTTAAGTATAAATATAACATTTTCCAGAGACTTTCTAGTTGGTTTTGAAGTTCTCTAAAACTGAAGAATCCATTGGCTGTTAATGATTTTCTCTCTTCACTTACTGATCTGAAGGTGAGATGTTGGTTTTATCCTGTAGGTTGTTATGCTTCTTTGCACTTCAAAAAGATCTAAGGTCACTCCCTGATTATGACTTTGCCACTTCCTGTCCTATTGTCCTTACAAAGAAGTTTTGTGGGTTTAGACCTTTCTGTAAAAAAATCAACCCAAGTAAAAATTCTTGATATTTGCATGTCTGTTAAATTTAACACTTTGCTTTCCATTTGAACCTGTATAATTTATAATACTAGGATTTGAGAGTGCCTCCTTTTTAAAATATAATTTGTTATTTTAATTTTTAATTCTTTTTTTTAAAACAGATTCAATGTGCTTTGTAGATACAATTCTAAGTACATACTGATATTCCCTTCCTCCCTCCCTCCCTGCTGCCTCTTAAGAGTTGAAATGCCTTTGCATTCCCTTTCTTAATGAATTGTGTAATAGAGCAAGAGAGCCAGTCAACTAGCTGCTGAGACTGTGCTGGGGAATAACTGGGTCAGAAGAGGTTTGCATTTCTAGGAAATTCTGTTAATGTGCAATCAAAAAAAATTACTGATACATAATTAGTGCCTTTTAGTCAGTTACCCCTACAGAATTTGTACTTCTTTTTAAAATTTTATTTATTTATTTGAGAGGCAGAGAGAGAGAAAACAAGTGAGCACATGCAAGATGTAAATGCCCATAAAGACTGAGATGGGCCTAGTCCAAAGCCAAGAGCCGGGCATCCAGTCCTGATCTCCTATGCGGGTGGCAGGGACCCAACTACCGAAGTATCAACTGCTGCCTCTCATGGTCTGCATTAGCAGAAAGTTGGAGTCAGGAGCTAGAGCTGGGTATTAAACCCAGGTACTTCACTAAACACTGACCCTGGATTTGCTCTTCTTTTGATGTAGAAATACTGATAAACCACCCCCACCCCTGCAGTTCTCGTGGCTCTTAGATATCATCTGTGAGTGGCCATTGTGTTCGGCTTAAACTAGTAAACCAATGCATCTGGTACTGAATCAGTAAACTATTGCCTTGACTTGCTTTTCAAATGTTATTACTAAGCCAATATTATTATTTCCTCTGCTACAAGTAACTTTGTCAGTCATATGATTTCTAGTGGGGGAATACTTGAACTAAGTTGGTAAGAACATCAAGCAAACAAATCAAAGATGCTATTTCAGTTTTTGGTGTTATGTTTACTATTTCACGTCATTCTGTCAGTATGTAAAGCATGATAGCCTGCAGGGTAAATTTAAAGTCCTAGTCACCACCTCTCTTGAGTACAAATATGTTTCCAATAATATTTTTCATTTAGTTTGTTTTAAAAAGAGTATGTCTGACCTCTCTCTAAAACTCTAGCCTCATACATCCAACTACCTGTTGCACCTGCCCATTTGGATATTAATTGGTATCTCAAATACAGTATGTACAGAATATAGCTCTTAATTCCCCTACGTACCATTCCACTTACCTCATATCTGCTTTTCTCCATTTGTTCTCCCTTTCAGTTAAATGGCAATGCCTACCTGCTCAGGTCAAAAACCTAGAACTTACTTCCTTTCCCTACACATATTCTGCATTCAATCTACCAACAGGCCTATCTCCAGAGTAGGTTCCCAGTCTGTCCACTTCTTCTCATGTCTACTTTCTCACTATACTTCCAGCCACCATTTTCCCTACTTTGATGACCCCTGTGGCCTTGTCCCCTCTACACTCTATTCTCTGTGCAGAGCCAGAGGGATCTCTTTAAAGCATAAGTCAGATCCCCTCCAGTTCAAAACCCCACAGCAACATCTCATTACTCTTGGAAGAAAACCCAGATTTCTTGCCTTACAAGGCCCTGCATGGTCTGGAATCTGGCTGTTTCTACAGTCTTATCTCCCATCGCTTTCCTCTCACTTACTGGCCTTCTTTTTATTCCTCAAGCATACCCAGCTCATTCCCACCTCAGGGCTTTTGCCTTGGCTGATCTTTGTCTTGGAATGCCCTTTCCCCAGACCTGCATATGCTCCTCTTCTACTGTTCAGTTTTCCCTAGCTTGTCAGCTCCTCAGGGAGGCCTTCCCTGAAGCTCTCATCTGAATATATCCCTCTCTGCCCTGCTGATCTTCATTCTATTGCCTTACTCTATTTTTAACAAAGATAGCCATTTGAAGTTCTGACTTAGTTAGTTACCCAGTGTAATTTGCCCTCCCTCCTGAATGTCCATGTGCTTCATTAAGAACAGGGATCTTATTTATCTTGTCCAGTGAAGTACTCCAGTGCTTATAACATTGCCTGGTGTGTACCATAGCTGCTCAATGAACATTTGTGATTGAATTAGTGAATTAGCCCAAAAGGGCATATAAATGGCTGCATCAGAAAAGGTGGCATAGCTTATACGAGGGCATGTCAAAAAGCTTGTAGAAAAATAGAATTAAAAGATAACTTTATTTTTATGCAAAAATTTTGAAATTATTGCACAGTTTTTTTTTCATGATATGCATTTTTCCATGAATGTTTGGAAGACCCTGATATTTTAGTGAGACTATTCTTGCCAAATTTTCAAGGCAATTAGGTAGCCCCTATTAATCTGTGACAAGGTCGCAGAGATTGGCAATCATAGTTGGCTTCTTTTTTTATTATTGTTAAATGAGGCTTTAAAAAATTATTTGAAAAGATAGACAGACAAGAGTAATCTTCCATCTGTTGATTTATTCCCCAAATGCCCATAACTTCTGGGGCTAGGCCACGCCAACACCAGGAGCTCAGAACCCATTATTAGTCTCTCACATCGGTGAGAGGTACCCAACTACTAGGGTCATCACCTGCTGCCTTCCAATGTGCACATTAACAGAAAGGTGAAATTGAGGTGGAGAAAAACGACTTCAGCCAAAGAACTCAGATATGGGATGTGGCATCACAAGTGACATCTTAATCACTGCACCAAACACCAGTCCCCTAAGTTGGTTTTTCTTTTTTTTAAAAAAAGATTTTATTTATTTGAGAGGCAGAGTTATAGATAGATAGAGGGGGAGACAGAGAGAAAGGTCTTCCATCTGCTGGTTCACTCCTAAAATTGCCACAACAGCCAGAGCTGGGTTGATCCAAAGCCAGAAGCCAGGAGCGTCTTCTGGGTCTCCTACATAGGTGCAGGGGCCCAAGCACTTGGGCCATCTTCCACTGCTTTCCCAGGCCATTAGCAGGGAGCTGGATCAGAAGAGGAGCAACTGGGACACGAACCAGCAGCCATATGGTATGCCATCGCCATAGGCGGGGGCTTAAGCTAGTGTGTCACAGCGCCAGCCCCATTAGTTTTCCTTTTGCAGACCTATGGATATAAAATGGTCATCATTTATCAATTTTGCATACCTTTTATTTGCAGCTTAATGTGTTACACTTTTGAACAACAGTACAAAATGTACTCCTTGAAGATAACAGTCTGAAACTGTGGCCAGTACTCATTATGACGAGCACAAGTTGCACCAAACAGGCAGTCGCTGTGCATACATCCCTCTCAAAAAGAAAACATCAAATTGCAGACTGTGATAAACAGTTCATTTAACCATAAAGTTTCTTAATATATAATGATTTTCCAGAAACTGATAAATATATAATGAAAATTTGACATTTATTTTGTGTCTGTAAATCTTTGCAAATCATGTTTAATAAATTGAGCATGCGCCTATAACAAAAGCAGAAGAAAGGAGAAAACGGATCATTTTCTTTCCCTTGCTACAGTTTGTTAATAAACGTCAGTGGGCTTCAGGCCACAGAGTCACCAAGTTAACAGATAATGATGTTTTGTTTTTGTCTCTTCTATTTCTGAGGTCACTCCTGAATTATTCTTAGATTCTCTCCAGTATTTTGTTGTGTTATTTTCTGTCATTTAATTGATAGTGTTTTCCTTTCTATTTTCTTAGCAGCCTTCAAAGTTAAGACTTTTCCCACTGATACTCTTCATAAATTTCCTAGTCTCATCTGTCTTCTGTGTTCTACTGCATGGTAGCAGTTTTCCCTTAGGAGTTCTGGGCCCCTTCCTTTCCCTGTATTCCGTTTGCAAATCCCCAACTCTGAGTTCTGCTGTATTCTCTCACAATCAAAGCTTAAGTTATATGCGACCATTATCATTCATTCCTCCTTTGATCAGTTCCCCTGATGGGAACTAGCTGGGAATCTAGAGTTGGTGAGTTTATGGCTCACCAAATGAGGTTTGGAAGAATTGAGAATTAAGATTCACAATCTCTCTGTTATTTGAACTTAACTTTCTTGGTAATTTAGATCTGATTTTTGTTGTGGGTGAAATACTGTTCTTAGATTATGGTGGTGACCCTAACATTCAGATTTTGACCAGTAAAGCAGAATGAGGGCTAAAAGTGATTCTCATTGAATCATGGATCAATTGATCATGAATTGTCCTGTTGAAGATTTCCAGACACCACCAATTAGGGAATAGGGATCACCTTGTTAAGGATGCCTTTTTCTCCTGCTGTCTCTACCCTTCTCTATCCTGACTCTCCCTACCTGGGAGGCTGCCGGTGAAGACCACAGCAGCAGCTCTTGTGCCCTGTGCCTTCTTCCCTACCAGCAGGGGATCCAAGGAAGAGAGGAGAGTGAGGTCAGGCTAATTATTCTCCTGCTCCCTCCTTGTGGGGTTGCCTTGGGCTGCTGTTGCCCCTCGACCTAAGGTCATGGTTCCTCACTATAAGACTTTCTCCTTTTGGGTTCCTGTAATCAATCCTCCCTCTCATCTCTTTTCCCCTAGGAGTGGTAACAGTTCTACTGTCACCAGTGCCAAATTAGAGCGCTAGCCTTGTAGTTGCCCTACAACATGTCCACATCTTAGCAAATGGTCCCATTCAGTAAAACTCCACATGTTATCCTAATCTGAAAGGGCCCTCTGTTTTTTGTTGAGATCTTATTTTACACAACTGTTAGACTATCTTGGATTTTGTATACTTTGTGCTTTTTTTAACATATAAAATATAATATATGTAAGAGTCTATGAAGAGGGCATAGAATAAAAGAAATTTGTCAAGAGAGAGGGGGAGAGAGAACCTACTTTACCTTATTTAGGATTCATTCAGTGTTAATTGAGCACTATGAACCACAAACAGTGCATGGGCCTCAGACAGATATTGGGTTAAGCACTATTTTGTCCCTGGAATTACATGTATTTTTAACTCTATATTTAGGGAGCATGCTAGTTGTTCAGATCACTGTAATTCACTGTCCTAGGCCAGGCAGAGATGAAGTCTTCCAGTCCAGCCTTATACAGTTGCCAGGATTAGGCTAAGAGCTCATCACTACCAGTACTGTCATCATTGTCATGGTTCTGCACGGAGCTGACGATGAACATAGTGAGGACTTGGGCTTTGCCATAATTGATTTTTAGGGTGTTATTACCACCCAGTTCTTTGCATGAGCCTGCAGGAGTTTTTTACCCTGTGATTTAGTTTCTTCTTTGGTTGGGTCATACCACTAGTTTTGCATACTTCTTTAATACCTGGTTTCTGAACCTCTGCCAATTTTCTTTGTGGCCCCAGACTGAAGAGGAAAGTGTCAGCTAGATTTCTGTGCCTTGATGGCCCAGGGAGCTGTGGGCCCTCATTAATCTTCATTTATCTCTTTTCACAAGAACTTGATCAGAAAGCAGACCATCAGCCTATCTGGTTGTGGCCTGGTGTCTGGTTCTAGTCTGTCCTGTTCTTAGTCCCCAATGCCTTGTTCTATAAGGGACCTCTGTGATTCTCAAGCATGAATATTTCTTGAGCTCACAACAGGACCTCTTCCTTCTGTGCCTTCATTTCTTTGGATGGAAGTCTTCCATTGTCAGAGAAACCCTTCTGGGCAGATGGAAGATTTCAGTTAAGTACAAGTTTCTTTTCTTCACATTGGCATTGCACAAAACATATCCAGTGGGTGTACTTCACAAGCAGGAGTCTGTGGTTAAATAAATTTGGGCAACTGTCTTTAAAGTGTCTTCACTGTAGGACATCTCTGAGGCTGTGATGGTTTTGCCATATTTTAGGAAAACCTGCTTGGCGTAGTTGAGTTGAATCCTCCAAAACCTCAGCTGTCTGACTTTTCCCTTCATCACTCTCCACGCCTAACTGAAAAGAGCTGTTAGAGTTAGAAGACACAATATTAGGCAGATCAAGAAAAATGTGACTCTCTACTCTGTGTGAGAGAGAACAGAGTGTGCAAACAGTCCTGCCCAGTTAGGAGGCCTGTGGCCACCTTGAGTATTCTCACGTAATGATGCTTTGGCAGTCTGGCACTTCATGTTCCAAGCGGGGGCATCATCAACCTACACTCCACCAGGAACTTTCCCTGATAGCTGTAGGGGAGAAGCCGGGTACTGCTTCTCACCATGACCTTGTTTGAATGTTCTAGGGATCATGGAGGCAGTCAGAAGAAAATTCACTCACTTTACTGAATGACTAGGACCTGAGCTGTATCCCAGCTGTATCATGAACCAAAGCTTTACTTCTTCTGCCTGTCCTGAGGTTCACTTGTGTTGCTGGAAGTATCCTAGACAGAATACATAACAAATGACCATACAACAGAATCTCCAAAAGAACTTCCCAATGGTTCTGTAAAGTATTTACCTTCCAAGAGGTGACATTAGAAGTCAGAGGGGCATTAAAATGTGTTGGCTTTCAAAATCATTGAGAACTTAAACATTGACACCTATTGGACAAATGATTTGATCATCGTGGGCTGAAGTGATAAGGGCTAAACTAGGTTGGAAGTGGATAAGAGAAAATCAAGTGATGTTTCAGAGATGGATGTATAGGCCTGTGCATCTAGTTAGACAAGGGAGCAACAGAGAAATAGTAAAAGGTAAAATCACTTCAGTTGTCCAACTCCAACTGGATTTTCATACCTGCTTCTGCATTTAATATGTTATGATATTATGTCACGTAGCCTCTGGAAAACTCCACTGTATGTTCTTGAGAAAATGAGCAAAAAAAAAATAAATTCCAACTTAATAGCATTAGGAAAATAGTTTTGATTTTGCAAACACCCTGCAATGATTTCAGATACTTCACCGTCCCTAATACTACACTTTGAAAATAGCTACTATATAGAAAAGCAGGCTGCAAAATTTTACTCATTTCATATCTGTTAGAGTAATCATCCCTTCAACTACACAGATATGTTATACACACTATGGGTAAGAGTTTAAATAATTATTTCTCCTACTGTATTGAAATATTTTACACATTGTAAAAAGCACACAGAAGTTTTTAAGGTTAAGACTCAAAGCATGAACAAGAGTTTGAAATGTTTTCTTCCTATACCTCAAGTATTATCTTGCATAACCCAGACTTCCTTAGAAATTCATTGTTGTAGAGGATGTTTAGGTTTTCCTAAAATATGGCAAAACCTAAGGCCTTTGGGTTTGGTGAGTAAAAGGCCTGAATTGTCAGACTTGGAAGAAACAATGTCCATAAACTGATAAAATAGAAGTAAAGTCTACAAAGAGTTAAGGGAATGATGGTGGGTGAGGAAGTCAAGGTAAACTTCCCCAACACTTGGTAAGGTGCACAAAGACAATAATTGATTTCCTTGTCCAGGAAAGAATTAGGCAAAAGGGATATTTCAGTTAAGATACTTAAAAAAAAAATCAGTTATCAATGCAAGCATTAGTTATCTTTCACTTCTCTCAGAAGAGTAAAATAAAACAAAAAAGTCCATGGTAGAGATTTTGGAGATACTCTGAGAATGTCAATCAATGTAAATAGCTAATAGTTGCATGAAGGTTTCATTATTCTAAGTAGGTCAGAACAAGTAATTCTAATGGTTTTAAATTGGCATGATCAGACAGGACTGGTCTCTCCTTTTACAATGTTCACAAATTAATGTTTTTTTCCCATAAATGAGCCATATTTCAGAGATAATCCTCTGAAAAATAATGAATTTTACCCAAAGTGGAACCTATCCATCTGCCTGATTTGTATATCTTTCTCTCTTTCAGGCACATGTACTGCCAACACAGGAACTTTATTCTAAAGATGCTACCTATTCCCAGAAAGGTCTCAGTTGGAACATAGGATTTCTTTTTTTTTTTTTTTAAATATTTATTTATTTACTTGAAAGTCAGAGTTACACACAGAGAAAGAGAGGCAGAGAGCGAGAGAGCGAGTGAGAGAAAGAGAGAGAGAGAGAGGTCTTCCATCTGCTGGTTCACTCCCCAATTGGCCACAATGGCTGGAGCTGCGCTGATCTGAAGCCAGGAGTCAGGAGCTTCTTCTGGGTCTCCCATATGGGTGCAGAGGCCTAAGGGCTTGGGCCATCTTCTACTGCTTTCCCAGGCCATAGCAG